AGGACCAAAAAGTAAGGGTGAAACGGGACCTGGAGTCCCATGCAAGGCACCTCCCAACTAAATCAGTAAAAATCTTAAGAAATGCCTATTAAACTATTGTTGCCAGTGGCACCCACAATTACGTGGAAGACCCATGAACATGGTTTATCAGGGTCAAAGACATTTGCTAATTCATCTTTGTACAAGTTAGTTAGAGAGTCGGCAAAAAATTGAGAATTGCGGGTTATAATAAAGTAAACATGATTTAAAAATTCGATTCGGCACAAAAGACAGCAGTTGGATCTCTGTCGAGATTTGACTGGCTCAGTCGAAGATGCAAGAAGTTGTGTTGTCGAATTTAATTTTAGTTAAAAGTCAAACTTCCTACGCATTCAATACCTGAATTAAATTTGGCAAATGTGAAATGCAATGTTTAAACTGGGCCTTACTCAATACTCAATACAAGTAACAGTCTTCGCTTCCCATCCGTACCATTAACGTACGTAGTATTCACATATCCGTTTATTTCCATGAATTCCGTCAATTATAGAATTTCTGAAATGTAACAATATGTAATATGAAACTCTCCGCCCCTGTAAAGGAAAAAAGTGAACATAAACAACTGTGAAATTAATGACAAACAAGAGCTGAATACAGCAGCTAGGCGATAGAAAACTTTAACTTGTCGGTTAACATGCAAGAACTTTACAACCTGAACTGTATAAAATAACAGTAGAAAGAACAGAACTGTAATAACAACAATAATTGGTACTGGTTAGAGCCATGTGTGTAGTATACGATAAATGCTTTGGCCAGTTGCACAGTGCTCGGTTTGAGTTGCAGCCTTATATTATGAAACTTTACTCATTGTGTATGTGAGGAAGTCGAAAAAAAGCACAAAAAATAAAAGCATTGTTTATTCTATCTTCCATGGTTTTCTATGCACATGTTTGACATCCCTGCTGTTTCTGCATGGAAGCTACACCCAACTACCAGTAACTATTTCCACTTTTTCCATTTTCTCCACTTTGCTATAAGTTTTTTGCAAAGTTTCTCGTTCCAGTCGTACTTCATCCTACACAATTCTTGATTAATCTCTACCAGGCAGGAGTATTAGACAAGCCAAACCACAGAGGATCATATATCATTTCTATTTAAGATAAAATGCCTTGCTGTTTCTCTGGTTGTGACTTGTCACCAACAACTAAGTTGAAGGTGTCGGCATGTACATCCTGAAGAATTGCTAGAGCTCAATCAGTTGGTAAACTATTGAGGTTTAAATCCAAAACTGTAATGGCTGGTGCACGATGTTCTGGAGGAAAGGCATCTAGGACCTTGCGCTCATTAGACATCGCCTTCATGAACTGAAATCCTCCATTTGCTAGTAGCTGCTGAAGTTCCTTCGTGACTTCTACTCCCTGGTGTGTGGTCTTAAAAGATTTCAGTAGATCATCAGCATTTAAGTGTTTGAAGATGGCGTCAATAGCGTAGGCTGAGAAGTCCTTTGTGTAGTCCTCAGCAGTTTTCCTCAACGCGTAACAGCAAATACTGGGCTACGAGGTATCTCCAAAAATTCGAATCAAGATTTGAAAGGTCTTCAGCTCTGCTGTTAGATCTTCGTCTGGCCACCACAAATAACAGAGCACCTCGGTCTTCTGGGGATACAAGTACTTGATGAAACATTCTTTTGATGTGGGTTGCCCACCTTTGCTAGTCACTCTAAATCTCAGGATCACTCTGATCAATGAACTCGCGTTCTCTGGTTCTTGAAGTAACTGATCATTTCTCAAGCTTACAAGGTTCAGACTTTCCAAAAGCGCCTTATATGTGCTGACTTTATCAACAAAAATTATTTGTAAAACATGTTTATTGAGGAGTTCTAATTTTTCCGGATTCCTAGAACCCCAGAAACGCCAGATAGTGCTACAGCACTGAAAGTGTGGCGATTGAAAGTTTTAAACTTGAAAGCCAAGGAGAATATGTTGTGCTTTTTTTATCCCAGTGCAGAAAGGTAGCTGGAAATCCGTTGTTCTTAATGGAAAAAAAAAAGCATTAATATCCTGATCTTCTTCAATCAATTCAACCCGTCGCAAATGACATGTAAATACCTGCCTTCACACGTTATGCTCCAAAAACAAAAACACTTTCTACACTTGAAAAGATAGGTTTCATAATAATAATAATAATAATTTTATAGGTAAGTTTTATGATTTATGAACAACTTGGTCATGTTGACGTCTTACCTCATGTTGCCGAGGCAATTCGCTCAGTATTTTTTCAACTTTGAACTTGAAGGTGCTCCAAAAGAGAACTAAAAGAAATACGTTTGTGATGTTTGGGAAAACAAACAGGCTTCACGTAAACCAAAAATTTAAAGAGTCTGATTTAAATCCTTGACTCCTTTGTAGAAAATGTTTCAGCTTAGGTTTTCTCGTTATGAATCTGACTGATTATTTACGGATAAGAGCATGGGCTTTCACGCATTTCCTGTAGTATCTTCTTTGCTCTCAAGACCAAGGGGGCTAGAAATCCAAGACGATCATATACAGAGGAAACTTAAACTCCCGGTCTAGTTAAGGGCTGGTCCTTCAGAATGATGGAGTCACTGAAGCAGTCTAACCCCTTTGACCACTGAATACCAATGACTCTTTCTATAGGAAGTTCTTCTGATGGTAGATCCTGGATGATGTCCTCTGTTCTCTCACTTTCTTGTACTGATTCGAGCGCAATTGTTTGCTATAAATTTGTTACGACAAAGGCTACCTTTCTTGCAAATTTCACGAGCTCCTTGGGTGAGGTCGTTTGCTTGCTCGGCGGATTCAACACAGGCTAATCCGTCATCTACATAGAAATCATGAGTAATGAACCTTGCCGCTGAAGGGTGCGTTTCTTTCTCTTGACTAGCTATGTATTCGAAACCGTAGCTGGCACAACCAGGCGAAGATGTTGCCCCAAACAATTTGCAGTTTCACTCTGTATTCCTTGGGCTCTTAATTTGCTTGATATCACCATTAGGCCACCAAAGGAATCGCAAATATTCACGGTCAGTTTCTCTTACAACAAGTTAGTGAAACGTTCTCTAGATCTCAGGTGAAAGCGTAAGGATATTCTCTGAATCTGCAAAATACACCTGTCAAATTGTTAGTTAGGTGAGGTCTGCTGAGTAGATGATCATTCAAGGAAGTTTCCTTGAATCTTGCTGAGCAGTCAAATACTACTCCTATCTTGTTTTTGTTTGGGCGATAGACTTGATGAGGTACATACCACCTCCCTCCATCATCTTGTGCCAGTGTGGGCACTTCTTTAGATTACCTCTGCTATTTGAGAACGTGGCCCTTTGTTTTTCCAGTGAAGAAATTTTTCAGGAGCCAAAAGTCCATGAAGATCAGCTTAAATAGAGTTTGAAATACCTTCAAATGTTTTGATGGTTAATATTACCCTTTATTTTTGATGGTCGGTAAAAAATAACCTTTTTTTGACGGTTGATGGTTAAATTTTACTCCATTGGACAGCTGACGCTTAACCCCATTGAGGCCCCTCTGGGTACTCAGTGCCTTTTCAATCTTTTTTATTTAATGCGGCATTTAGTTATTGTACCTGTCCGTAACACCAAGAAACTACCGAGTTTGACGACGAAGACCATCTTAATTTTTGTACTACAAAGGAGTGGTAGGATCAATGTTGTATGACTTGCCTGGATACGTGATAACTCAGTTGGGAGTGGGAGATGCCATTTTAGGTTTGTTAAAAAGAGTAGTGCATTGCACTACTGATAGTGTACCAGTCCAAGCTTGGTTGTAATCTTCAGTCTTAAATGGCAATCTTTTTCTACTTGTGTAAAGCATATTACAATTCAGTTATTTCATGAAAATATGCTAAATAGGTTTTACTTAGGGTGCGTTCAATTTCTGATTCAATTATCATATTCTGGTAGAAGAGTATGCCAAAATTTGTGACAAATCTGTGATAGACCTTATCACGGTTTTGGAAGCCATCTTGACGGGTATAGGCAACCTCATCAAAAAGTGGTATTTGTATGAGAATCTAATGTTGAGAAAGAGATATAAGCTAAGGTATGCATAAAAAAGATAGAGCAAGAAAAGGTATAAATAAATAAATAAATGATAATGGCTTGGTGGCTGATAAGTCAGTCAGTACTGCAAAGCTGCTAAGCCACCCCAGTTAATTTACCTAGAAAATTTGCCCTGTATTCTGTAGCCTAGGTCGTTATTGGTAGGTAAGCCATAGTATTAAAGTGGAATGGTTGTGAAATCCCTTAGATTCCCTTGTCATATGTTTTTGTTAGCTTTTTTTTTACCTGACTGTGCCCAAAATCAATAGCATTCCTAACATCTTGAACTTACTAAACAACAGAAACATCATTGCATTAATTTATTCAGTCACAATTTGTGTTGCGTGAATACTGACTTCTGATTGGAGAAAATTCACGGGTGTCTTGCCATACATGGGGGTTTGGTCACTTGCTGTAAAACAAGTTTGCTTTGGGCTGTTGAAATGGGCAACATGTAGACACTTTGTTGCAAAAAAACCCAGCTATTTTTTACTTGTTGCAACAAATTTTTTCGCAACCGACAACAACCTGAATTGTTGCCAGACAGGTTTGAACGTGGCTAGTAAAGTGATGAGGTTAAAAGGGGTTGACAGGCTAAACACGACTCCCGCTGTTTCGTGATGTAATAGGTCTTTGACCTTTAGAGTTTAGCTCTAACAAGTATGTCTTTTAGAGATTTTCCTCTCCTGTAGGAGATGAGAGGTGGTTCTCTGTATATTTCTCTCAGCATTGGTTGGTTTTTGATTAAATGCCACTTGCTCATTAAAATATTTTTAAGGTTAGGCACTGATGGATTGTACTGTGTGACAAAAGGCATTAATCTGTTTTTCACTTTTTGCGGTTTTTGTTGAAGTGCCGACTTTCTATCTGTAAATTTGACCTCTGGGAGGACTTTGTTTACCAGATTATCTGGATAGCCTCGGACACGCAAGTGTGATCTGAAATTTTCAATGTTTTCTTCAAATGTTGCCTTTGAAGAGTTGGTTCTAAGAAGCCTAAGGGCTTCGCCTTTGATAAATCCTTTTTTCACGCCTGGAGCGTGACAGGAGGCAAAATGCGTGTATTGAAATGTCTCAGTCGGTTTAAAGTGCGTACGGATGTCAAAGATTGAATCTTTGTAGAATCTCTCGCCTTTAAAGATAGTAGTGTCTAGGAAGTTTGTTTTCTCTTCTGATATTTCAGCCGTGAATTTTATGGTAGGATGGTGCCTGTCTGCTTCTAAAATGAATTGGTCTATTTTCTCTCTGTTTGTGTCCCACAGGGAGAACACGTCATCGATGTATCTTTTCCACTCGAGGGGTTTTATCTTGCTTTTATTGATAATTTCTGTTTCTACCGTGGACATAAAGATGTTGGCAAAAGGAACTGCCACTTTTTTTCCCATTGCGGTACCATGAGTCTGGAGATAGTTTCGTCCATTGAACTGGAAGGAGTTCTCCTGTAGTATAAGTCTAAGCAAGCCTCTGAGTGAATTTGTAGGAATGGGTGTGTCGTTCTTATAGAAGGCTTCATATGCTTTGCATACAGTGTTTATTCCTTCTTCTTGAGGAATATTGGTGTACAGGCTGGTAACATCCATTGAAACTAGGATCGCATTGTTTGGAACTTTCCTCTTTTCTATAAAGTTGATAAACTGTGTGGTATCTTTGAGGTAGGATTTTTGTACTTTAGCGATAGGCTGTAGGATGTGGTCTAAAAATGATGATATACGTTCTGTTGGGCCATCGCAGCCCGAAATTATAGGTCTACCAGATGAAACTGGTTTGTGAATCTTTGTTAGCGTGTAAAAAAATGGTATACACGGTGGGCTAGGTGTTTGAGAAAGCCACTTCTTTGTCATTGCGTCTATATGATTTCCCTGGTGGAGATCATTGATTATCTCTTCTACTCTTCGAGAGGTTTCTTGGACCATTGGTGATTCGAGGGGCATGTAGTTTTTTCTATCATCAAGCTGAACTTAGCCCTCTTGTATTTTATCTGTTTTGTTCATGATGACCGTTGTTGTGCCCTTGTCTGCCTTTTTTATGATTATTTCTGAGTTCGATCTCAATTCTCTAAGCGCTTTACGTTCTTTGAAAGGCAAGTTATTTCGTGGCTTAATTAGTTCAATCTCAGCGAGTTGAACTTTAACTTCCTCTAAATAAGTTTATAGTGCAACTGATTGTTGAACTGGAGGTTCCCAGTTTGATTTAACGTGAAAGGGGTGTTGTTCACTCTCTTTGTTGTGGAAAATATATCGGATGCGCATTCGCCTCGCAAACTGTCTAAAGTCTAGCAGCAATTGTTGCCGGATGCGATTCTCTTCTAGAACCGGTGCTTGGATAAAATTCAACCCCTTTGATAGTAAGTTGATCTGATCAGTTGTCATTTTGGAATTTGAGAGGTTTTTAATGTATCTTTGGTTAAAATGAGTGTTTATCCTGTTTGTGTCTCGCCTCCTATTGCTTCTTCGCGAGTGGTTTTTTTCATTTCTGATTTTTCGTTTTTCTTTCTCCCTCCCTTTGACTGAAGAGTCATTAAATACACAGGGATAAGATTCACTTTCTGTATTTTGTAAAGCTTTCATCATTTCTTCTACTTTCTTGATTTTGTTTGTTAGCTCTGTAGCTAAAACTAGTGCATTCTCAGTGCGGTTTTCTTTTTCCGGTCGTGGCTGGTTCTTAATTAGATCAGCATTGTTCGTTTTCTTTCCTCTGGTTACGTTTGGTCTTTGCTCCAATTGTTTGAGCTTGATTTTGTTGCTCTCTGCTCGTCTGTAGTGGTAGCGTGTCAACGCGCCGATAAGTTTCTGTTCAGCTTCTCTGCGGATGTGGCTGATGTCACTTTTGAATTCATCGTCCGGCACGATGTTGACTCATACGTTGTACCTCAGGTCTTTAGGGCACGTTTTCTTCTAGGTGTGTGCCTTCAGTGCCTGCAACTTGGTGGATGGAATTTAACGACACTAAGTGTCTAAGCATAAAGTGTACAGAAACCATTAATTTTACCTTTGTTCTTGGGTGTAAGATATCTTGCTATTCGACTAGCCGGAATGGATTTGGTCTTAGACTTTGCATTTGCCATCAGCTGAATTACTGAGACTGGTGTCTGGGAGCCCTTGGTCCTTAATGCGTTAAACTCTCTGTCACAAAACCTAATACATAACATATGTAATCAGCGTGCAAAGAAAGTCATATCCGATAGCGTGGGGCTAGTGGAGATTGCTATCAGGATAGCGATGTTTGTTTTTTAACTTGCTAGAGGGACAAGTGCTGTTTTTTGAGAAAATTCAAATTACAGAAGGATTACAATCTATCGTGCCAATCAAAAAGGGTTTTGGGGCTACTTGAGATGATTTGTGGGCAAGTTCATGCTAGCTGTAGCTTATAATGGAATTAATAAATATATGTACATGTATATATATATATACATAAGAAAGTGGCAAAGAAAACACCCACAACTACCATTCCCAAGTTTTCCATTTCCAACTTGAGTTCGTCATGAAGTTGCCTAACTTTTGCATCTGTTATGCTCTTGAATGGCAGGGCTCTCACTGGAATGGCAGAGGGTTTCATGTCCCTGCGTTCATCAGCCACCATGAAGATCATCAGATGCTTGGCCACTTCCCTTTTTTTAGAGAACACATCTTTGGTGTACTGTGACAGACCTTTCCTTAATTGTGCTAAAGTTTGGGGAAGATTTCCTCTCTGATTAGCAGGCCCTAAACACTTGAAAATTATTCTGCTGCATCTGTTTTGCAAATCATGGTTCAACGATTTCAGGGTTTCATAAGCATTGACATCCCAAGCTAGAACAAACAGGCTGCTCTCTGGGGTATTGCTTTGCTTCCTTTTTTTTCATAAATTTCCTTTGATTTCCTGAGACCTGATTGCAAAAACTCGGAATCATTTGTTAGTGTTTTCAACTCTTCCCCCAAGTCCTGGATAACAACTTGCAGGGCTTTCTTTTTTTCAAAACCAATCCCTTGAATAAAACTTAGCAACTGCATGCATGTTTGGTGCAGTTGCTCCAGTTGCTCGTCTCCCAAGTCTACATCCCCAGACCACTCACAGCGCAAGGATTCCATAATACCGGACCTTATATCACAGGCATCAGCTTTAATCCACCAACGCCCATTAGGATTCCTCTGTTTTGCAGTCGTCAGTGCCTCTATCTACAGTTAATTACAGATGACAACAAATCATTCCAAGAAAAGAAATGTAATATCTCTATTTGAAAGTAAATATATATACACATCATTAAGTGTAGGAGGAATTATGATGAAGTGTCAAGAACAACTTTCGCAGTGACTTTTGCCTCATTTCCAAGTGTGACATCTTCTCCTTCAATTCCAATCTTGTCTTCCTCCCATCTCAGTTGTGCATTTTTTAACTGTCCTTCCAACCATGACAGACGGGATAACTCATGCACACGAAATTTGCAATTTAAGTTGTCTGTGCATGCTATGAAATCTTCGTACATGGTGGTATCCTCTAAGTAGAATGCACAGTCATGAACGTGGGTGCAAAATCTTCGAAGTTGAATGCTACAAGTTCTGTCCTGGTCTCCTTGAACTTCGAAAAGTTGTGGAAGTTCTCTTCGTATAAACATAGTATCTGATGCTCAAACGCTACCATAACTTCCTATGTAGTGCTTTGGTGGGTTTGTAACAACAGTCTGGTCAAGATGATTCACGACATGGGTATTGCCATCAATAATTTCCTTCTGTCCAACCATGAAACGAAATGAGCATGGAGTAACATGAACTTGTGGGATGCTAAAATTGTGCTGCGGCGGCTTTCTGCTGTGGCAAATAGAACTGTTCATCTCCATCATCGGTTGGCAAAACCTCCGACTGGCGTGATTGAAATTCACTAGAGACTGTTTCCTGAGAAAGAACCACTTCGATAGGCTCATTGTCTTGAGACACTCAATTCTGGGAACAAGTCAACTTGTGACCCTTGCAAGGTACAATTCTCTTTATCCATGTCTTCAGTTATTGATGGAGCACTGTTGTATTTATAGTAGGTGTAGGCGGCATCGCACACATCAGGTGGAAACTGGCATTGTTTATCACACACTATCACCTCATACTGTTTGGAAGCATCAACCTTTGTTGTGACTGACCACTCAGAGTTCCCATCTCCCATATGGTTGGAGGCGGGGGAGATTTTCTTCAATTTCTTCTGCAACCTCTAGTATGCTTTCATCAGCATGAGCCCCTGAAGAGCTTGGGTCTTCTTGCAAAACGGTATTGAGAGTCTAAAAAGTGAGAAATAAATTTATTTCACGAATCTAGAAGAGATGCTGGTCTAAAATTACATGTACATGTGTACAGATCTATATACTATATAGATGGACTAACTGTGCCCTATTGAAGGGCAATATTTACAAATTCACATTTCTTTGGTGAAGATGTAAGCAATGTTAAGATATGCAGATCCAACTATTCATCTTGTTCAAATGGAGGCTTGTAAACAACTAAAATTACATAACGGACATTTAAGATAAATGGAAGTTTTACGAAAGTTGTAAAGGAAGAATTTTGGTAAAGTCGTGTGTGCTCAACCAGAGGCGATTTGTATTTGTATTTGTATTTGAATTGCGTAACTTGCCTGGAGTCACTCTCTCTCTCTCATTCCCTCTTCTCCACACGTTGAGCAGTTGATTCACATCCACGTTTTGGAGGTTTGAGAGAAAAAAGGGTTGGAATGGCGCCAGGCTTAAGTGATTTAGTCAAATTACTTAACGCCATTGATCTTACTTTCATGAGGTAACACTCTTCAAAGCAATTCTCTTCGAAGTGCTTCAAACACAGATGTGGATCTTTGGGCAAAGACATCCTTCCAACAGCTTGAATCCAAGCTCGTCGTATTGCCGCATTATCCAGAAACTTGTGAAGACAAATTTTGGGATCCTTTTTCCTATTTTTAGCGTAGATGCTACACTCAAAATCAAATCAGTGCAATGCTGCATTTTGAGGCGAATTTACCGAGAACATGGGAATCGAGCAACCATCTTACCTCATCACCCCAGAGAACCTTGCGTGCCGATGAAAATGGCGATTACAGGAAGTTAAAACTGGTCTTAAAGGCTCCTTTTGAGAGGCAAAAAAGAAAAATGTAAGACAAGAACGCTTTTCTTTGCAAAAATCTACTTTTGGAGACTTAAAGAGCATTTTGGGCGATATGTTCTTAAAGAGTGGAGGTTCCCTTTACATATTATTTAATTTATCTCTTACACAATAATCACACAATCAAGATCATGTTTGGGCTGTATCCGGCTTCCATTTATTTTTGGGAAAATACAGGTGCCAAGTCTAGCCCAAAAGGAAAGTTAATGAGTGTAGCATTGACACAGCCACTGTTCCATCGGCCTAGGAGTGTGACTTCATATTCGTTAAAGCCAGCGAGGGAGGTGGATGTTGCTCGATTCGAAAACTATGACCACTTTAGTAGGGGGGATTTATACCGACCAAGCATTGCAAGTGAGAGATGAAGGAGACAAGGGATATTTTTCTGATGGGGCATTAGTTGAAAAGTTGAAACAAGGGCGTAGTAGCCTTGTTGACGATGCCATGATGGTTTGTTCAGAAGCTGGCAAGGGGACCCAGGAAACTTCCTGGCAAGAATGGAGAAACAGGCGCTGGGCACTGCTGTTTGTACAATGAGAGGAGTCTGCAAGTCCTCCTACAAAGTAGTGATGCGCTTTCACTTGAAGCTGGCCAAGGGGAGAGGTTTTACAGTCACTGGAGAGCGGGAAGCCATGAGACAGGTGGCCAGGAACTTGTCAACCTGAAAACGAGAACTTTAAACTTAACTTTATTACATATCACACACTTGGAAAAATACTTGAGAACACCCGGGGGCTTAAATGGCCTAAGGTCAGCAAAAAAACTTGAATAATTTACATGAATAAAAGATGGTTTTAACTTAAATAATTACAATACTGTTAAATCAAAAGAGAGAAAAAGATATTCAGAAACCTTACAACTGAAATACAATACTTAAAGAACTAATTACCGTAAAAACTCGTGTATAAGCCGCACCCCCAACTTTCAAGCATGATTTTGAAAAAAAAAAAACCAAAAATGCGCTTTTGTAAAAAAGGTGATCGTTTGTTCGCGCATCAAAAAGTTCACAAATAAACTACTACTAAAGAGAGAGAACGTGAGCCCAATGATTATCAACACTGTCAATATGGATGGCAGGCAACATAATATTGTGATGAGTGCAGATGTAAAACAAGAAACGGAGAAGGGTCGTAATGTGCGGAGGAGCCGCGTGAAGTGCAAGTGGTCAAGACAGGACAACAAACATGCATAAATCGTGAATGAAAAACTACATCTACATATGTAGGTAGAGCAATATCTTATCAATGTCATTTTGGGTAGAAGCACAGGTCTAGATCAGAGTGGGTTGTTTTTGTAGCTTTTTTGCGTGATTTTGGTGTGCCTTCGTCTCCGAGTGGTCCCTTACATACTTGATCCCTTGTTTTACACAAGATAAGGCCTGGTTGCATGCTGTACAACAAAACTTGGTTGGTTGGCATTCCAGGTTCTGCGGCAGTGCATGGCCACTGCTGGGTCCAGATGTTGGAGAAGTGTCTTTACTTGGATTTCTTGAAAGTAGGAGGTGGTACAGAGGGTGGACTTTAAGCTCTTTTCTTTGATGCTTTGGGTACTACAATAAGGGGAGGAGCTGCTCCCACTGCTAAAAATAGTGGTTCTGGTGTCAATGGAACAAAATGGTTTGCTTTCCAACCATTAAGGTCATTTAGCATTCGGTTTTCGCTTGGTACTGGATGATACGTCAAAGCTACTCCCTGGTAAGTTCTCCACATAGTCATCCAAACCAGTTAAGTTAACTCTTTCAGATAGCAGTCGTTTAAATGCTTGTCCTTGGTCATGCAAAGTTCTATACATGTCCTCATTCCCAGTTTCACGTGTCTGTCCTCATTACCACATATAGTCCTTGACGTGGCCCTATATAGACAATTTCCATCACCATAAGTTTTCTTTGGTTGTAAACATTTTGGGCCATCACTCGAGGAGAGGTTTTCTGGCCTTAAATCTTTAAACCTGCAGACCAACACAGGAAAGCTGTTACCTATCAGCATGGGCTGTAGTTGTTAATTAGACTACAGTAATAAAACCAATTACGTTTGGTTATAGCAGGACATTTAAACCCATTTTTGATAAGTTGTAAATCCCTTTCTCAACATTAATTTAACATAAATATCACCTGCCGAAATGCCAAAACATTGTTTACTCTGCCAACCAAGTGGTGAACTTCAATTCATTAGCTATCACTTACCCAAGTTTAAGAAGTTTGATTTGTGGTTGGAATGTCTGTGGTTAAGGTGTTGTTTAACCAGGCAGGAGAGATTGGCGTCAATAAGCTGGCTTTCCCTTCTTTTGACGCAAGGATACTAGTGACCACTTCCATCATGCCAGTAATGAGGACAAGATGACCCGTGAATAGCAAACTGTAATGGTTTAATTGCAACAACAACTTGATTACAGCAATATGTGGCTACTGAGCACCATGAGGTACAGCAATGAAACATAATACATATGTGAGTTAACAACACCCGCTGGCACTGGAAAATCTTAGCTACGCCCTGGTACGTATCTTTCACAACACCTATCATCCCATCCTCGCAGACCCAGGGGCAGTAAGTCAGGTCAAGAGAAAAGCTGCAACGATAGTCTTCAAGTACAGGCGAAAGAGCCCTTGGGTACCGACTCTCACCAAACCATTTCCAAAAATTCAAATGGATGATTGGGCACAAAAAAACCTTTGTATTATTGTGCCCAATCAGCGAACAGCATCTCTTGAGTTATTTTCGTGTGTTCGTACACGACGGTTATTGTCTTGCCATACTTGTCTGGTTTGTTCACCAAGGTTGTGCGTGCATATTCGCAAGGGAAACTTTCACTTTCTGCTTTCCTAAACGGAAACGAAGGAACTGTTGATGACTTGTAAAAACGTTTCAGATGACTATTCCCGTTTGCACCAAGAAAATTCTGCTTCTGACCGATCACAATGTATCGTAAATAATGTAAATGGAAGGCATGATCGATATAAGCCTGAATTTAATATGTCTTGAACGCTAAAGCTTTAAAATACCCTCACATGCGTTTCCATGTGATAGTTTTCGGGAAGACAGTATTTTCAAATGGACGGGGATGTTCTGTAACTGAAAGTTTCCTGATTGCGTGCATTTCTTTGGTGAACGAGCCAGACAAGTTTGCACGCCCGCATGCATTCCCACAGGTGAAGTATACGTGCATATGAAGACGCTACGCACGTGTGATTTATGGAGAATCTTGGCTGCCATTATTCCAACAAGGAAAGATATTAGAGAAGCTATCTCCGAAGGTCTTAAGTCTTTTTCAGACGTTGAGGAACTGAAGCCTGAGCAGATTTTAATAATTGAGAATGTTGTCCTTAAAGGGGATGTGTTTGCAGCTTTGCCCACCGGATTCGGTAAAAGCCTGACTTTTCAGATCTTGCTTAGCGTTTGTAAAGCTTTATTTTACTGGGAATTTGACATGCCTTCTTGCCAGTGGTAACTGTGGTTTCCCCTTTAAGCTCAGTCGTGAAAGACCAGGTTTCATACTTGAGGTCACACCGACGGCTTTGAAGCTGCCTTCATTGGAGAAAGTGCTAAACAAGATAATGATATTTTTGAGGGAAGATTAAAAGTCAGTTTTTATATGGAAGTCCAGAGTCATTTGTTGGGGACATAAAGTTCCGGGAAATGTTTTAACAGCAGCATTACAGGCAGAATGTTGTTGCCGTTGTCTGTGACGAAGTTCACACTGTTATACACTGGTAAGAAACTTTAAGCTTTATTTGTTTCCTTTTTATTCTTGAAATCTGCTTAATGCAATAATAATTATTGCATTAAATTGAGGTAAATAATGTTTTTAGCTGTAAACTGATGTCAAAAATGTCTGTTATTACTAACTCGCTGTAGAGAGGAAACGTTCTCTCATGAGTGACATGACAGATGTTAGTCTTCTGTAGTAGGAAAGGTACAGTTTCCTATATCTGCAGAAATTAATTGCATTGCATGTGCTTAATGTCAGCTCTCAGGTGGTTAAAACATGACGTTATATACAATACACTGTATACTGGAAGCAAGTATCATAAAGCTTGCCCAATGTTACCTCCATTGTAATGTTGTCTCTGTGATGTTTTGCTACCCACTAACTGAGTTAACTGCCAGTTTCTTTTGAATCATGCTCCTTTAATATATCCTTTCTGAAGAAATATGGACAGTCATAGTTAAACCCCTATCAGGAAGTGCTAAATACTATGTTGCAGTTGTATACTGTTTCCGCATTTCTTTTATTGACAAAATTATATACATTTTAATGCCTAATAGTGTTCTTGGAATTGTTTAATATCTTATGATTATACAGTCATTATAAAATATTTACACAATAACAAGAGCATATAATTTTTGCTGCTTGCATGGTAGATAAGTAAGATAATATTATTTATGTAGAACATTACTCTTTAGCTACAAATCACTTGTCTGGTCTCTTTAGGGGTAAGAAAAAGGATGGAAAAGAGCCATTCAGAAAGTTGTGTGGTCTTGTTGGTGAGGTCAGGTCTTTTTTGCCAAAGGACCAGCCACCTTAGCTCAAGGTCTGGAACTACCAGTGCATGTAATATGAAATACAATAACTCACCTTTTTTCGTGTCTGCCCAAGAAACAGTGAAACAGTTTCTATTTGTTTTGTTATCTTGTGTCGTGTGTCACATTATGCCTGAGTCTATTGCCAACCTAAAGAGAGAAAATAACGATCTCAAATCTAAAGTTTCAACGTTATTTAATACTTTAGTTAACCTCTCTTCGTAATCGTTATGTACATGCCTTGTTTTTTGTTTTTTGTTTTATGTTAGTTTAAACTCTATTTACTGTATTGTAGTGTCTTCACTGTTATTTAGTCCATCTATATATAATTCTTGTTTTGTAATATGTCTTCAGCTCCCCCCGCCTCGATTAGTTCATAAGCTATTTGCGGGTGGGAAAGTAATGTAATTAGTTATTTTCCAATTTTCAATAAAATTTGTTGTTGTTGTTGTAGTGAAAGGCCAACAAGATGTTGCACAGCAGATAACCTTGAATTGCGTCCCTTGAGCAGTACCGCACCAGCACAACCAACTATGGGCTTCAACAATTGTTTCTTCCTCTGGTTCCCAGAAATTGTGGGGTGCATTGCTATAGACTTAAGGACTTTGTAAAAGGTAGGGGCTTCCTTCATCCATTCTTTAAGAACTGCATTCCACTGAAAGTGTTTGAGGTCTCTAACAGCAGTCTTCTTTAGCAAGGATTTCTTCTCCAGTTTATGACACTCCTTGTTGATTTGGAGGCAGACACGTAGAATCAAAGAATTTCTCAAACTTTTGGATTTAACAGCAGCTGCGCTGATTGCTGAAGCAGGTCGTTTTAAGCAAAGGGCTATCCCCAGACTGCTTTATTCTTTGGGTAATTGCCTTGACACAGTTTTGGATTTGAAGTGCACAGTCACCTTGATCAGAACATAACAATCATTGTATATTAAAGAACAAAATTACAACTGAATCAACATCACTACAAAGAAAACAAAATCATTATTAATTGCATTCATAAATAAAGGCATACTGCTTAGATTGATACTTGTTGCCCATGATAATGAAATTTAACAGTTTTCAATGTCATTAAAAGATTATGTTAAGGTACAACTTGTTCTTGATTAAGAACTAGTTGCCACTCCACTAAACTAGGGTATTACTGCAAAACACACGCTTATGTCCTGTGGTTACAAGAAGACTAATCTGGACCGATGCCTAAGTGCTTACATGTTTAGTTGCCACATGTGCAGGTCTAGAATTTCTGGAAGTGGTTTATTACACTGCAGCCTTCATTTTAATTGGGGACCAAGACTAGTATTTTTGATATTTTTGATATTTTACATACAAACACAGACCACGAGAGTTTGGGAATAAAATTGGAGCTTTATTGCTACACTGGTCGAGAAACCAAACCAAGACATGTTACATACGTAGACAATAAAACTCCGACACCTTAAGGGTGGGAGGGAATTAGGGCGAACCAAAAGCGGTTCGAACAGATCGACTAGAGATTACGACTGAAATATAAGCCTGGTGATGACTCGATTAAATGCGGCGTGTCACAACATTCAACAATTAACTATCATCACTTAGGTAATGATTTACACAATTGTTTACATACAAACACAGACCACGAGAGTTTGGGAATAAAATTGGAGCTTTATTGCTACACTGGTCGAGAAACCAAACCGAGACGTGTTACATACGTAGACAATAAAACTCTGACACCCAAACCCAAACGAAATGATCTGTGTTTGAGTAAGAAAGTTAAGAAGATAAAAAAAAATATCTATATACCTAGAATTAAGTGAACTGAAAAAATAAATGTGGTTGAGAAAAGTATATGATTATAATGCTAGCTAAAGACCAATTTGCTGTAAAGCGTGAGCCATAGCATTAACAGCAGTACGTTTTTGATGATCTGTCATTTCAAGATAAACCAAATAAGCGTCGCTGCGCCAGTCCCCTTGTAATTTGATTAGTTCCGCTGGAAGACCGCAATCAAAAGCGAAAGTCACCCCCCCCAGAGTTTATGACTGTGACCGCCGCTTCGTTGTCGCAGGATACAATAAAGCGATGATGAGTGAGAAGGGGAGCCCAAGCTCGAATCGCAACGACCACAACAAACAGCTCTAGAGCAGTGATATGCGTCGCTTCCTGAAGAATGTTCGGAGGAAATACAACGGAGAGACATTGGTCTTGACATGTGGCCCCGCCACCAGATAAGCAAGCGTCGGTGGAAAAATGGAAATCATCAAAAGACCAGACCTCTGACTTGATGAAGGAAACTCCATTAAAAACAGGAAGAAAAGTGAGCCACCAGTCAATGTCTAATTTGATATCATGTGAGACCACCGCGGTTCGTCGAGAAGATGGAAAAGCACGCAAATTGTTCAGCAACCGGGACATGAAAATGCGGCCTGACTTGACACACGCTGTGACGAAAGACAGTTTTCCGAGAAGTGATTACAATTCTTTAAGGCGATAAGATGTGCGAGCTTTCCAGTGAGTCAGTTCAAGTAACAAATCGTCGAGGCGATCGCGCGGCACACGAAGACAAAAGGTGTTGGTGTCAACTTCGATACCAAGGCAAGTCATGGTCGTGGCTGGTGGACAGTCTTTTTCAGGCGAAGCTTGCAAGCCGAGACGATCAAACAAAGACTGAAGCTGGTGAAAAGCATCGAACGCTCTATCGGGGCGTTCCACGCCGTAGAAATCGTCTAAATAAACGTCTGCCGTGTAACCGTGTTGCGTAAAAATGTAAATAACGGCCGTCGTAGTTCGTTGGCAGATCATAGCACTGGTTTGTAAACCAAACGGACAATGGGTATTGAAGTACAAACGACCGTTAAACGTAAAACCTAGGAGATGGTAATCTTTCGGATCGATAGGGAGTTGTCGGTAAGCTGTAGACGAGGCAACCGCGGCCATGGTGAAGAATAAACTGACACAAACGATTGATGCCGGGCAGTCTAAGCTTGTAGGGCTCGTTGAGATAACTTGAGGCTGTAATTCCGCTATTGACAGATAACTGCGGTGGATAACTCAAGTCCATCACGATGCGCCGTTGATTTGAGCCCCTCTTAGGAACTGTTTGTAATGGAGAGCAAATCAAAGGCTGATGTGAAGGATTTGTGCTGAAAGGGCCAGCAATAGCGTGATAGCCAAGTTTGGTGTTAATATAGTGTTCCACATGTTGGCGAAATCAACGGCGAAGGGATGATTAGAGGACGAAGAAGTGGGAAGATTCTCGGCCGTATAACTCACGGGCCAGCCAAAGCGCTGGAAATCAACGACATGAGCATCGTGGTAGCTTTGTAAATAAAATTCCCAGACGGATATGTTCAGCTGAGTTATCACCATGTCGAAGGATGAGGGCACAGCTCCAAGAATACATGTTGTCTTTTTTTGTTTTGGAGGCAGTTTTAGTTCCCTCGCTTTGCACACCCAGACTCCGGGTCCCGTGAATAACACAGTATTGACACCACAGGACCAGTGCTTATTCCAGCACCGGTGATAACAATTAAGTACCGACTTTAGCAAGGTCTCGATTTAAGTGTTATCAGCCTCGGCCTTCGAAATTGCAATTGAGAAGGCCTAATTAACATATTTGGCCTCCTTGCCATTAATTTCTCCATTTTTTGTTTCTTTTTACTTCTTGTGTAGCAAATAAATAAGAAAAGAAACCAATTTATCTCAATAAGATAATGGTGCATGTTCTCCGAGAAAATGTCACTTTAATGTTTTGCCCGTGATGTTATTTTTTTTCTGATAACCTTAATAAGTTTAATGCAAACATGATATGAATTTTTGCTGTTTTTTTAAACTGTTTCAAACATTACCCCCTACAGCAACAAAGGCAAACAAATGTTTCAGTTCTTTACCTCTACAGTGAAAGGGCTCATGGAGAATTCGTTCACAAAGCGTTTTGCCATAGTGCAATTAAAATACACCCACAATTTTCAGGGTACAGTGAACAAGCGAAGAACATTCAAGTCACTTGCAAACGGTTTCGAATTTCGCGGACTAGATCCCAGGCCTCAATACTCGGCCTCTTTGCTTGTGCACACATGGCTAATTTGCATTACCATAATATGTAAACAAATTATGCGTGAAGCCAAAAAGGAAAAAGTCAAGCTTCCCTTTGTTTTATCGTTGAATCAAAGAGAAGGAAATGATTGCTTTGCTGCCTGAAGTCTATCGTTTTCGACTGGCGATGCAGTTTACTTAGATAACATGACGTGAAAAGGAATCCACCGCTGGTCAGATCAAAGTTCCAGTTGTCTTTTCTTCCTACCACATGTTGCGCCTGTGGCGAGTGCAAGGTAAAAGTCTTGCAGTTTGTGGTTGTACATCTCCTATACACGGAACCCGAATTGATTGGACCTGTTCACCTCTGGTATTTCAACTCATGTTCTTCGATCGATCGATCTTTTCATAAAAACCAACCGAGTGAGTGAAGCTCAAGGTAAGGATTTTTCACGCAAATCAAAGTGGAAGTTACATACATACACACTCACTCACTGGAAAAGAGAGCATAAAAGTTACTTGCCTAGCAAGAAAATCTACTTTTCTCGAGCCCTACTGTTTAAAACATTGTTAGACTTGTTTCAACTTTCAGTTACCTAAAAAAAGAAGCGCAGAAATTTGCTTTATACACAGAAATTTGAAGCGATTAAAAAACACTATCACTAGCCATGCAGGATTTTAATGATTGACTTCAGCCTATAAGTACAAAGATTCTTACATTATTGTAGCAAAACAGCGGGTTTGATTTTGTGTGAATTTGAAGCTTACCGATGCTACAAATTGTGACTCAAAGCTTTTAGAAGAGCCAGTGTGTATGTATAGAGCATTGTTTTGATGCCTTATCACCATATCTTTTGAAACAGGAAGGTTCAGTCTTTGGGAAGATTTACAATCGCATTGTGCAAAAGATAAAAAATGCAAGATGGGCATTGGGTGTAAGTTTTAAGTTTAGCACAAGGTCAGATGCAATCAGTAAAAAATCACATATTATTGATTTTATACGCCATGATCTGATGAAGTCTAGCTGAGAAAATGGTTTCTCATATATGTCAGGGCATTTTATCAGCAGCCAAGTCGGTTCTTAATAATTATTAGGTTTTTATTTCAATGAAGGAGGTAATTGATGGTTGATTACTGGAAAAAGAAATAAAACTTTTGCAAGGATGTTCTTACTACACTGGGTTTTGTTGACAGTCATTTACTGTATGAATTTTTTTATTGCCTCAAGATCATTTCTTGTGTATTATTTTTCCTAAACCTTGGGCTCAAGTATGGATTTTAATGTATTATCACTGTCTTTCAAAACATATTCATGAGGAAATGATTCAAGAGAATGATTGTGGGGAGTTAACACTTGCCAAACTCGAAACAGCAATGTCTATAAATATTAAGTGATTATTTAGTGAACTGATGGATTCTTGTTATCAGTAATATCATTTAATCGTACATATATTTATATAGTTTTACTTTTTTACTTTCTTATTATACAACTATGTACAAGCATTAGAAGGTAAAAATTTGAAATCACAAACTGGCAATTAATTAAATCAAACAAAGTAAAACAATAATTATATTCTAATTCGCTACCCCGCTCAAACGAATATAAAACATTTATCATGTA